TGCAGTTGAACTTGGTTAAAGTGACTGCATTCAAAGTGGTGCAGGTTTCCTTCCTAGTTTCTAGTTCGAGCAGGGCAGGATTTCAAAGATTAGATGTTTAAGTTAGAAAAATTCTTTGTCATCACCAACTGAACCTATCAAGTTGGAATAAATCAGATCTAAGTTAACATTTTCAAGTCTTTTTTCTACTTTCATCTTGCAAACTGACCACGGTCAATGGAGAGAGAAATGGCTTTCTTTAACATGAATGTGGGTCCATAGATCCTCTGCGCATTTTTATATATATATAAAAAAAATATACATATATTTATTTTACCCATTTGTCCATTGGACACACAATGCCAAAAATGTTCTTTTAACCCAACTATCCTACAGATTTCTCAAAGTAATTATTTCTTACACTTATTATGTCAAGTAAAGTGAAAATAGAATGAACAGCACCTATTCCCCAATAAAACACAATCTAAAAAGTGTAGTATATCTCCATTTCTTGTTTGTGTCAGTTTTCACACATGTGATTGGATTGCCATTTCTTTATTTTTGGAAAATACTTTGATAACATTGTTTTTACAGCATCTCCATGTCATGCGGTCTGACACACACCCTTTATCTCCCTCGTTCCTATTCTCTTTAATGATATTTATTTAGAATTGAATTTACCTTGAATTTATCTTTAATTTCTAACAATGTAGACCTGAGTGAAAGATCTTGTCCATTTACATTCCCCATAATTCACTGGATAAATCCTGATGTGCATAGTCGGAAAGAACATTCCACTGGTCTGTGTTTTCCAAAAATCAAATCACGTCATCTCATATTATGAGAACATTTTCATATCCATAACTGTATAAATGTATCGTTCGTAAGTTCTAAACTTGAGTATGGAGTTTATTTGTAACCTACATACCAGCAGCAGATATAGCACATGTAAAAGAGTAAAAAATATTTCTAGAAGATAAGAATTTCTATTTAAAATGACTATGGATTAGAGTGTTGCTTTCTATTGTCATTTATGTCAATGATTCTGGATATTCTCAGTTGAAAGTAATTAATTAAAGGTAGAATAGGAAAACTTTCACTGTAATCATTTCTCCAGGATCATTTTAAATCGATCACAGGAACTGGGACGTGTGATCGTCTGGAGTTTTTTTTCCGCTGAGAATACAATGACATAATGCTGTAAACAAATTCATGTAGTAACAATCTTTAAAGGGACACTCAGTGATAGAAGTGAACTGCTTTTTAGATTGTCATATAGAAACTATATTTAAAAATGAAAAAAAAATATCTTTCTACTTTAATCACTGTGTATAAGGAGATATATTAACCTTTCTAACTGGGTCTAGTTACACCATCGGTACATGTGACTGTGGCAACAAAGAACTCTAATCCTTTTAAAAAAATATATATGTTTTTTTTTTTTTTTTTTACTTTAGATTAACCCTTTAAGGACATAGACCTCTATTTATAAGCTTTCTAAATGATTTATCCACAGAAGTAAACATTAAAATACATGAGGCTTTTTGTAGATACATAGTTTGGAAAGTGTTTCTAACATTGAGCCATCTGGAAATCTTATTGACAGCTAGAGGGATGATTGACAGCTAGAGGGATGATTGACAGCTAGAGGGATGTAGCCAGGTTAATTTATAAAAGTGCCAATTTCTATTGAAATATACACTTTTTGTAAAATGAAAAAAAAAAAAAGAGGACACACTATTCACACAGAGCAATGCAGTATGATAAAGTGCTCTAGGGGTCCAGAGTTTTAAATGGGTTGAGGTGCAATAGGTCTAGATATGTTATGTCCCTAATTCATAATAAAAGTAAACATATTGGATGCCATTACAAATGTGCATGGCATCAGCGTGGCTCCCCTCTGTCTGTGTGTGAGTGTCAGTAATGGTTTTAGTGCTTTTAATGCTGTTGCTCATTTTTGAACTTATGTACAGTAGTTTGAGCTTTAACTAGATTGATTGAGCTTGTTCGCCTTATTATACTGTCTTGAAAAGAGCATTTCAATTCCTGAAAACACGTAGTCATCAGTATGCTATCAATTTATTGATTGTAATTCTACTTTCTAACAATGAGCTTTTTTAGCAACCATAACGTAAGGCGTGATTTCTATATTTATTAGAACTAACACAATGTAAGTGAGATACTGTATGTCTCATTATAATGCAATCAAACTGAGAGATTGGCTAGAGCATCACATTTTCCCTGCAGGGGAAGCATTGGAAACTTAGAAATCTTTCCTCATTAATGTATGTTCCATCTTATCCTAAATGATCCTATACAATTTTAATAAGGATCTATTTTCACATTGTATCCCCATCCAATATTGTCTTACAGTATACGTAATGTAAATTGATGTTCGGTACAGAGTTTTGATGAGAATATCTATAGTGCATCAGATGTGGGCTTTTATGAATCAGACAAACTGAATAGTTACATAGGCTGAAAAGAGATATGTGTCAATCATGTTCAGCCTTTATCATATTTGGTTTTTTACTTAAAAATTAGATGTACACTGTGATGTTGAATCAACACTCCAACATTAAAATATATATTTTGTTTTAGATTTATCCCCACCCCTATTTCATTGTCATAAAATAAATTCACTTTTTTTCATGACCAAGATAGTCTCATTAAGGCAGCTCAATCCAACGTTGCAAGGATTGACAAGATTGATGATCTCTGGTGAAACTCAATACTTCTCATGGAGAGACATCAGGGCCCTACAGCCCATGAGCATCACGTGTCCTGCTCTGACAATCCAATGTTTGATATAGATGCATTTCTTTGAAATTTTCTCTCTGAGAAGCATTATCTTCTACTTTGAACTGCAGTTCAAAGCGACTTAAGCAGGAAACTCACTTGTCTGTCTGACAGCCAGGGTGTGTAAGTAAGGAAATTTGGAAAGTGCAGATTTGTCTTGAGGTCAGCACTTTAAGTGAATAAATAGTACATACTTTACTCAACCGTTATTCGCTGTTGCAACCTATGAAAGCTTCCCATGCGAATAATTCTAAATTGCAAAGAAGACAGGAGGGAAAGTCAGACTGACACTCAAAGGACTGCATTTATTTATTTATTATAGTGCAGAGGAAAAATGTAAATGTAACACTGTTCACATTAACACTTAAAATTAAGAAGGTGCTGTTGGACTCCAGGCACCATAACTAGTTTATTTAAAATTAAGAAGGTGCTGTTGGACTCCAGGCACCATAACTAGTTTAGTCTTTTCGCATGGTTTTGGTGCCCTAAGGGGTCCTTTAAGCACATTCAATATGTGTGTCCATCAAATGTGTTAGTGATGCTATCTCTGTGAACATCTGAATGTCTCTATGGATTGAATATTGTACTTATTGCTTAACTAATATAATTTTGCTTAGTCATGACCACTGTACATGTGCTATATTATCCCACTATTCATTTAAAGCTTACTCTGTTATTGTGCTATGAATATTTCTATAGTGCTGGGACACTCCTAGCATTTTAATATAACTGCATTATTATCTAATGTTTAAGGCAGGCGTAAATGTCAAAAGGCCATCTGTGAAGAAACCACTGGCCATTTATCATAAATTCAAAACAGATAATAGTGGTTCTAGAGGAACAAGTGGTGATTGATTAAGCAATTAACATCTAGGATTGTAACTAAATGTCCAACACTGCAATATTAACAGTAAAGACGGTAATCTATAGCTTTTAAAAAAAATTAATAGAATTGACATTAATTCAAAGGTGTGATATATTATTTGTTGTATTTTATTATACAACCATTTGATCCATAGTCAGGTTTCTCTGCAAGGTTGCAGAGTAGCACAATATGTCTATTTTTAATTAAAATACTATTAGATATTCTTAATTGTAGCGGAGATACAATATTACCCAGGTTATCTCCGCTTATAATCCAAGTGAGACTCAGGAACAAGTAAATAATAAATCCAAAGGCAGGGTTTCCAGCAGGTAACATACAGCAATATCCCAACAGCAATCCCAATAACTGGACGACACACAGTTTCAGGAGCATAACTGACAAGCCTTTAATCGCAGTCTCCTTATAAAGCATGCTCCCATGCAAGGGAGGGATTTACAGTAATTATTACAGTAGCCAATCCTGTCCTGGTAACCTCCCACACATCCCCTCCCCTCAGCCAGCATCATAATCCCCTTAGCCAGCACACCAATTCCCC